CAGGACCTGTCCGCCACCCCTAGTACCTTACTGCAATATGTTGATGATTTACTTCTATGTAGCCCCTGAAAAGAACTTTCCAAACATCATACTATCTTCCTTCTAAATATTTAAGGACAAAAGCTTACCAAGTCTCACTTAAAAAAACACAACTTACAAAAACAGAGGTTACCTATTTGGGTCTTTTACTCGTCCCAAGACATAGGACTCTCCCAGTAGACAGAAAACGCCTCATACAAGAAATTCCCCTTCCCAAATTAAGGCTGAACTTCTCTCCTTCCTTGGGTTAGTAGGATATTTTAGGCTTTGGGTGCCAAATGTTGGTCTCATTTCTCAACCTTTGTATCAGGCCACTGAGGGGAGCCCTCCATGAACCCTTAGATCCTAATCTCCCTGTATCTACTCCCTTCTCACTCTTAAAACAAGCTCTTACTTTTCTGGCGTTGGCGCTCCCCAACCCAAACAAAGTCTTCCTTGTCTATGTAGACAGCAGACAGGGATTTGCACTGGGATTATTGGCTCAACAGTATGGGCCCGACCTCAGGCCAGTCACTTCTTTCCTGGCGTTGGCACTCCCCAACCCAAACGAAGTCTTCCTTGTCTATGTAGACAGCACACAGGGATTTGCACTGGGATTATTGGCTCAACAGTATGGGCCCGACCTCAGGCCAGTGACTTATTCATCCAAACAGCTGGATAACACAGTTCTCGGCTGGGCTCCCTGCTTGCGGTCTTTGGCTGCAGCCACTATACTAACACAAGAAAGCTCAAAATTAACTCTCTTCTGAAAAATAATAGTACATTGTGCCCATTCACTGCCTTCACTCCTTACCCACCAGGCCACCCAACAGATTTCAGCCACCAGACTTCAGGTGATTTATGCCTTGCTTCTTGAAAATCCCAAAGAAACTTTCACTCGCTGCTCCTCACTTAACCTGGCTGCACTTTTGCCTGTCCCTTCCCAACCCACAGTGGATAAACCTGACTGTAAGGAAATACTGGACCACTTTACTAACCCCTTTCCAGATATTTCAGACACCCCGCTATGACACCCACACTGGACTGGTTCATAGAGGGGAGCTCTTTTGAACACCAGGGGATAACACAGGCAGGCTATACGATTGTTTCCTTAACTCAGGTAATTGAATCCAGCCCCCTGCCATCCAATACAACCTCACAACAGGCAGAACTTAGAGCCCTCATCAGGACCCTAATGTTGGCCAACAAACGCAGAGTAAACATAAACAGACTATACACAGACTCGAAATACACCTATCCCATAATTCATTCTCATGCACCAATTTGGAGGGAAAAGGGTTTCCTGACAACCAAGGGAGCACTCATAATTAATGGTCCTTTAATCCTAAAACTATTAGAAGCAGCCTACCTGTACACCCACACAGCCCATCCTTCTGCAAGGGACTGCAAGGGACACCAAAAAACTCAAGACTCAATAGCTGTAGGTAACAATCGGGCAGATGTTGAAGCCAAGAAACACACACTCACACAGGTCCAACACCAAATGTTGGCTCTGTCTGTGCAGCCGCCACCCTACTCACCCAAGGGACACACATCCCTCACACAGCAGAGCTCACAATTCAAACAAGGATGGCACATTCTCAAAGGTAAAATAGTCCTTCTGGCCACAGAGGCATACAGTATCCTAACACAACTTCCTAACCATTTCCATGTGTGACATAAGCCTCTCTCTAAACTTCCATCTCCTCCAGTAGAATACCCTCATCTTCCACAGTCTCTCCAATCAGTAACACGAGGCTGTAATGTTTGCCTCTGTGTGTCCCCACAAGGCCACTTACAACCTCCTCCTTTCCCTACCCACAAGCTAGAGGTCAGGTTCCTGCACAAGACTGGCAAGTAGATTTCACCCACATGCCTCCTGTAAAAAAACAAAAGTATCTTCTTACATTAGTAGATAACTTCACTGGATAGGTAGAAGCTGACCCTAGCACTTCAGAAAAGGCAGCGTCTGTCACCACGATCCTTCTCCAACATATAATCCCTTGGTTCATTCTCCCCACCACTGTCCAGTCTGACAATGGTCCACCTTTCATTTCACAGATCACCCAAGGAGTTTCACAGGCTTTAGACACCTCTTGGAAATTACACATCCTGTACAGGCTCTAATCCTTGGGAAAGGTTGAAAAGGCAAATTCTATTATAAAAAACCACCTTACCAAATTAATTGTTACAATCACATATGCCATGGCCTGAACTACTCCCAACAGCTCTCATGCGAATTCATATAACGCCAAGGGCACCCCAACTTCTTAGCCCATTTGAGCTTGTGTATGGAAGAACTTTTCTGTTGGGTAAACTTCCCTTATGAACCTCACCCCTTGGGAGACTTTTACCTGCTCTAAACCACACCTGACTACTTTTGCACAAGTACGCTAACACCCACCTACCAAAACTCTGTTCCACTCCCTTTCCCCTCTCAACATTGAGCCAGGGGACTGGATTCTCCTAAAAGACTTAAATCCAAAACCTCTTCAACCTAAGTGGACAGGCCCCCATCAGGCACTTCTCACCATCCCAACCATGGGAAAATTATCAGGCATAAGTGCTTGGGTTCATTTTTCCAGGTTAGAAAGGTAGCAGACTTCAATTCAAAACTCCCAGGACATCCTGAGAAATATCATTCCTGGCTTCTCACACCCACCTCTGTCCGGCTGACAAGGATACCTGAGGAATCCACAAGAGGAGCCAGAATCCAGAAGCACAGAAGCCTAACTACTGCGGCCAACACACACGCAGCTGATGAGTGAGCTGCCCTGGCTGGTGTCTGTGTCAGCGGCAGGCGGTTTCTACGATCTCCTTCTACTCTCTCCTTACAAACATACCTGAAGTCCTGGCCTGTGAGAACACACTTCTGTCTTTTCTTTGGGACTGCTACCTATGAGGGGACTTCAGGGACTTTTTGCCCCCTCAAATAACCAAGTGGACAGAAGTGGAAGATTAATCGTCCTCACCACGTTCTTTTTCAGTCAGGAAAAGGCGACAAACCTAAAAACTCTGCCAACTGAATGGTCTAAGGGCTCATGGCTATTATCCATTTTGCTCCGTATCCTAATTCCCCTTGTCATAAGTCCCCTTCCGCTATCCGTGGGACCTATACTTCTACAACAATTCTCCTAGTTCCTCTGCACGACCATCCAGTGACTCATGAGTGCGTAACTGGAATTCCGATGATGAGAGATGCCTGTTATCATCTCCTGTTGCTTTGCCCCCCATGGATTTGTCACCCCACTTCCCCTGGGTGATGGAACCACAAAGGATTACTCAAAGCCCGTCTCTTCTGAGCAGTGAGAAGCCCTGAAGTGGTTAACTTCCCCGGGACCCTCAAGCAAGAGGCATCCCTTCCTTGGGAAATTAACCCCAAATTGGGGTTCTCTTCCTGCATTTATTTTCCAGACCAGGAAGTTACAGGAAGAGAACAAAGGTGGGGTTATAGTTTAACAATATAGGCTGGTAACTTTCAGTGAAACAAGCCAGATGACATTCCAGTAAGGCAATTAAGTGATCCACCAACAAAAGCTTGATCTTAGCAAACATTCCTTCTCACAGCATTTCTCAGTATCTTTGCATCTCAATCAGTAACTTTTTTGTCCTTGAGCCAGCAACCTGCTGTGCCACAAATCTTTATCTTACACCAGAGACTTTATACTGTGAGGAAAATTTCCAGTCCTCCACAAGGTCAATATTTGACACTGCAAGGCTTTGGAAAACCAGGCCCTGTGAGGTACGTTTGCTTTAAGAATCCTCTACATCCTCCAGCCTCAAGGGCCTCAGTGACAAGGACACCCCTCAAGTCATTAGTCCCTCATCACCCCTTTGTCAGCAGGAAGACATTACAGAAGATGGACCTTCATCCATATACCCAGTCAGGGGGTCTCCCTAACAATCGACTCACGTCCTTTCTTTTTCACTAAACACAAAAGGGAGGACTATTAGGTCTGGGGAGGACTACTTAACATGGCGCTACTCAAAGATACTCACAATGGTGGCGCCTGCCCTACAGGACTTCCCCGTAAAGTAAAAAGACAACGAAACTCCTAACAGCAACAGAACTCCACGCCACTGGTCCCCTCTGAAACCCTACTTTACACACTAAGGGAACCAATAATCGCAAACCTAAACATCACCTAATTGACACAAGGCCTCAACAACTACCAGTGGACTTTTCGTTTAACTCCTCATCAACAGAAGCTCTGGCCAATGACAACAACACAGCTCAGCACAAGAAGAAACAAGAGCCCAACCCCTGAGGGAGAGGTCGGGCTAGGTTCTATACCTATGTCCCTAACGTACCACCTATGCCAATAAACTCCTTCTAGCCTGATTTCTCGTCTTGGTATCAATGCTTTGTGAACCTTTCAGAGCCAGATTCAGGGGCTTTATGCTTCTGCCCATGAGGGGACCCAACTCCGGACTGGGCATTGGCTCCAGGGTAGTCTCTGAGTTGGGGTGGAGGCAGAGAACGTCTTTGCTGGTGGGGTGGTAGTGTCCTTGGCTGACACCCGGAGCCTCTTTGTAGGCAGTCTGGTGGTGACCTTGGCTGCACTAGGATCCCCACTGGGAGGGGAGCTTTGGGAGGAGAAGAGGGAGGTCACAGGGCCAGCAGGTGGAGGGGTGGTCCCTGCAGCTGGCAGGGGGAAAGAGTCAGAAGGCAGCCTGACCCTGCCATCCCAGTGGCCTCCCTGACATCCCAAGGCAGCATTGATGCACTGGAGTGCTGCCTTCTTCTCCCTGTCTAGGTCTTCAGCGGTGACTCGAAAACCTGGCTCGGGGCATGGTGGCAGCGTAAAAGATCCCCCTCGCCTATGCGGCAGCAGAGGAATCTTGCGTTTGCAGGGCCTGGAGCTCTGGACTCTGGGCGAGGAGATCTTAGAGGGGAGTTCCTGCCCTGTTGCTGCACCTGGGCTCTTCCTCTGGCAAATCTCAGTAGCTAAAGATGAAAGCTGAGGGCCCTCATTTCTCACTTTTGAGGCCTGATCCTTCCTCCTCTGCAGCAGTGGGAAACCTGAACTTGAGCTGTAGGAGCTTGCGATGGCATTTCGTTGGGGGCAGGAGCTCAAACAACAGGTGTGGGGCGTCTTGTATCTGGACTGCCAGCACCCCACCTGGAGGTTCCTCTGCAGAGGCCCAGGCCTGGGCAGAGAGAAAAAGAGGGCTGCATTGACCCTAAAGGGGCTAAATGCTGACAGTGTACCCCCAGTGCCAGTGCCAGCACCTTCAGGGCTCCATCTCTCACCCTCCTGCTTCTCTGTGACTTCGGGGTCTTTCTCTTGCTCAGCCTTTTCTCTGATGCTCTCTCCAAGAGCCCTCGTCACACTCTTCGCTGTGCAGGAGTCTTGGGCACAGCTGGGTGTTGTGCTGAAGGACACCTTGAGCTCCATCTCTCACCCTCCTGCTTCTCTGTGACTTCGGGGTCTTTCTCTTGCTCAGCCTTTTCTCTGATGCTCTCTCCAAGAGCCCTCATCACACTCTTCGCTGTGCAGGAGTCTTGGGCACAGCTGGGTGTTGTGCTGAAGGACACCTTGCAGTTGTGAGCAAACAGCACCTGCTTCCTCTGCTGTAGACACCTGTAGATGGAAGTAAGGACCCCCATCAGGGAACACAGTGTTGGCAGGGCCACAAAACATCTCCTTGCAGGTTCTTTGTTACAGCCCCTGTGCCATGTTGCTGGATACCTGTTGGATGGCCCGCCAGTTGATCCAAGGCCATGGGATGCTGGGTGGACCTGGCCAGCAGTGGGAATTCTACGGGTGGGGTGAGTGGGCTGTGGGTGTGTGAGCTCTTCTGGCAGGACATTGCCCCCCAGGGCAGGGGGCATGGGTGTGGGGTGAAGCTTGCCCACATAACTACCCATGGTTGGGTAAGTTTCTGTATTTGAGTAAGTAACAGAGCTGAGCTCTGAGGCTGCTCCTTGAGCTGCCAACTCAGCCAACTCAGCCAAGTGGCAAAGCTCGGAATGTCTGGCCGGTTGCTGGGATGACTGATGCGCATACACAGAATGTGCACATCAGTGCGTGTGTATCAGACGTGCGTGGAACAGGCACACACAAGGCATATGTCAGGAGCGGGGGCATGCAAACGATGGTGGAGGAAGAGGGGCGTGCGCACACGACACAGGTGGGACAGGCACGTGCAAAGGCTGCAGATCCACTCCTGTGCCTTGGAGCTTTCCCATTTCCCGCTGAGGGTCGAGGGTGCTCTGCTTGAGGGCAGTGAGCTCAAGTGGAGGGCAGTGGCCCCTTCTTCCCTGTCATGCCCCAGAGCTTTCATTGCACTGTCTAGGACTGGTTCTCTGCCCAGCAGAGGGGGACCTGCTGGGGAGCAGGGTTTCTGGCCGAGCAGTTCCTACAGGAGATGGCAGCTTTGTGATCAGAGCCTGTGTGACCTCCTACTCTTACCTTGGGAACACGGGAGCAGAGAGTGGCCAAGAACAGAAGCACGGGCACCACCCAGATCCTGCTGGGGTGGCAGCTGAGATGTCTGCCAGGGCCAGCTGGGAGGGACTTACCATATGACTCACCTTTCCCTCCAAGGTATTTAACCAAGAGAAATAAAAACTTAGGTTTTCACAAAATCCTGTATGTGGATGTTGTAGCTGCTTTATTTGTATCTTCTAGGTGTAGGACTACTAACATTGTCCAATTTTTCCTAAGTGCTTGTGTCATAGTTTTTAAGTTGTTTTTGGGGTCATAGTAATATCAATATATCATAATCATTTCACAGTCTAGTTAGGGTTCATATTTTCCCCATTGAAGTGACCAAGGCTGCCTTGAAGTTCACCTCAGCTTGACTGAAGGTCCCTGTGCTCCCTCTTAGAGCACTGACTTTAGATAACTTGTAAACCTGCATTGTTTCTCAGCTCCTTTGAGATGGAAACTTGGAAAAAGCCTCTTGGCAGTTTTAGAACCCAGGAATGTCTTTCTCAAAGACCAGGGAGCCACCCTTAGAAATGGAACCATCCAGGAAGACAGGGTCCCCATGTCCCAGTCTCTGCGGGAGGGTCGGAGCCAAACTTTAGTGGGCACAGGTTAGCCAACACATGTGGCTTGATCACAGAGAACAACATTTGCCATCTCAGGAATAACTAACTCAGCGTGCTGGACAGCTCCCATGGGTCCACCTCCCCCGAAAGTCCTCCAGTCCTTCCCACCGCTCACTTCAATGCTTCAAAACCCTCCTGCCTTTTGTTTCAATGGAGTTGCGCTCAGAGTGAGTTCTGGCCTGTTCCCCCATTGCAATAGCCTCATCTAACGTCCTCCTTGTCTGTTCAACTTTCTCTGGTGCACCTTTGGCTCTGACAAACGTAAAATGCAGAAGCCATGCATCCATATAGATTCTTTAACCCCCTGCTCTCTTTATTAGAGTTGTCATATGTATTCCATCCGCATTAATTAGTCCCCACCTCTGAGACAGTGGTAAAACTTTGGCATTCAAAACTCATGCGATGTTCAAGAATTTAAGAGGAGAACAGGCTCTCTCTTTGTCTGGGATAGTTTACTGGGTGGGTTGCAAGAAGTTCCTTTCCCATCA